ACGACTCATGGGTACATTATCAAAGCAACTTCAAAAAAAAGATCCAGACATTTTAGAAGCAGCTTCGATGGTTAGAGGGACAATGGACGCATTGCAATCTTTAAGAGACACGGGGTTTGCTAGCATTTTGCCAAAGATATCATCTTTTTGTCAAACACACAATATTGCTACTTTGGAAATAGAGAATTTTTATGTTGGTGCAAGAAACCGTACGACCACAAAGACCAATAGATTTCATTTTGAGGTTGAAATCTTCAACACGGTGGTGGACATGCAACTTACAGAATATCAGGATCGATTTAGTAAAACAAGCACCCAGTTACTAGAATACATGGGTGCTTTGAGCCCTTGTGATTCATTTGCACAATTTGACAAATTAAAGTTGTTGAAGTTGGCTAAATTGTACAAGTATGACTTTGATGATTTGGATTTGATAGATCTTGAAGGACAACTTGAGATATTTTATCACTCTTGTATCAAAGATGAGTGTTTTACCACTTTGAAAGGAATTTCCGAGCTTTCTCGTTTGATGGTTAGTACGGGGAAACATCGGTCTTATCCTTTGGTTTATAAGCTTTTGAAGTTGGCTTTAATTTTACCCGTAGCGACCGCAAGTGTGGAAAGATGTTTTTCGAAGATGAAGCTCTTGAAGACCGACTTGCGCAACAAAATTGGTGATGACTTTTTGAACGACGCGTTACTTTGCAATGTTGAGACCGAAACACTTGTGAAAGTTGAGAATGAAAAAGTAATGGAGCGGTTTCAAAAGATGTCTGTACGAAGAGGACAAATTTAAATTGTAGTAGATAGTTATGTTTTTAACTTTTTATGTAATGAAATGTTTTTTTTGTATTAGACGTAATGAATTATTTTTCAGTTTTAAATTATGTTTGACCGGACTTTTTTTTGGCAACCCCTACTACCAATTCCTGCGTCCGCCCCTGATATATATATTAAAGACAAAACAACAAAATTGATCATTGTGGTATTCGAAAAACTGTAGATAATGTTCAAAAAGTTCTGACTTGCATGGAAGGTCTAAAATTAAGATTTTTACGTGATTTTGGTCCTAAAATTAAGAAATTTCTATAGTTTTGGTCCATGGACCACTTGAATTGACTGTTATGCCTTTTTAATTTTTTTTGTATTTTTTATATTTTTTAATTTGTTAATATTAATACAAAAAAAAAAGAATTATGCTGGCCCACCCCCCATCCTTCCAACTCTCTCTCTCTCTCTCTCTTTCTTTCTTTCTTTCTCTCTCTCTCTCTCTCTCTCTCTCTCTCTCTCTCTCTCTCTCTCTCTCTCTCTCTCCTCTCTCTCTCTCTCTCTCTCTCTAGTGGCGTCCATCACGACTCAAAATCTTCCCCCCCCTTCGTACACTCCTCCCACAACCCAATGAGACCACCATGATCCTCTAAAACCATGGTTATCGACACCATCTTCGCCATCGTCGTCACCACGTCTGGTTCGCAGTCCAACACAACCATCTGAAAACCAGACCTTCACTCATCCTCAAGCTGTCCATCCCAATCCAATCCCTTGTTCAAGAAATACGGTTTGGACTCATCCGATTAGCCCTTAAATGCAATAACTCCCTAGAATCTGAAGTTAGATCATGCCCTCTTTGGTCTATCCTCGTCTGGACGATGTTCTGTAATAGTAGATTCAATCCATGACTCCTAGCATTTTCGACATCCAACGAACCAGTGAAGCCCTAGATTCAAAGGTGGGGTGTTTGTATTTGTCAGCTATAATTTATAGTCTCAAAGTAGGATGCCACTATGACGTCTTTTACATAACATATTATTTATGGATAACAACGATGTTTAAATGTTTTCTTATTCTTTGAATTATATAGATATTATTATTTTTTTTATGAAATTCCAATTGTTCATGAAAATAAAAACTTATTGATATATTAATTATATTATTTTAATCAGAATTATTAAACAATATAATTAGAGATGGTGATTTTGCGCTAATATAACATTCTCTATGATCATGAATCTTAATTTCGAAAAATTAAGGTGAGTTCTTAGACAGTAATACATCTTTTCAAAATCGACTTAAACACAAAGTTATTATTTCGATACTTTTGATGATTATCAGAAATCAATCTATGTCACACTATCACAATATCACTTATTATTATAGGCGTACAATAAAAAGTTTCAGATCAGTCATGTTTTTTACTAGTCCGATTTCGTTGTAGACCAAGTTGGTCTCGCGGTCTTTGCATATGTTTATTTTGTTTGGATTTGTTTTTTTTTCTTCGATTATGGTTTCAAGTTTTATAATATAACCCATTTGATCCAATAAGTATATATGTATATATTATAATCCAAAATAAAAAACTTTCAAAGAAAATAATAATAGACATTATGTAATGCCCGAGTTGCCAGGTATCTACTTTTGCTGCTTATTCAAAAAAATAAATAATATTAATATATGGGAAATGGTCGTACGCTGGGCGTACATAGTGTACGCACGGAGTACACAAGTGAGGCGCGAATCGGGGGATGTCACTACGTATGCTGGGCGTAGTCTGGCCAGAAGCAAACCCTAAATTTTATGGTTTGCACCCTATTTAAAGACCTTATGTCCCTCCTAAACCTCATTCTCTCAGCCTCCATCACCCTTAGAGTGTTAGGACCGTAGAGTGTTAGAACCGTAGAGTGTTAGAACCTCTTGCATGCATTTTGAGCTTACCTTGTGCATTTTTGGTGTTATTTGGTGGTGTTGAAGAAGAAAGAGTTTAGAGAAGAAGCAAGGACATGAAGAGGGCTTGTAGATCCATAAGTTTGACATAATTTCTGACCTATTTGAAGTATAAAGCTTAAACCTTGACCATTGCATGCTTAGATCTAGTTCTGGGATGTTTTATATTATATTTTGGTCTCATATTTGAGGTTCTTTGAGTAAATGAGTTTTCAGTCAATATGAGTTGTCCTTTTAGGCTCTTGGAAGTGTTAATAGCCATAAAAATCGGACCTTGATGGTTTAGCCTCAACCATGCAAGTGCTAGGTACCAACTAAGTGTGTTTATGGACATAATCTATGTCTTAATCCCCATCCATGCATGCAAAAGCATAAAGTTTATGACTTTATGACTTAAGACGTTCTTAGGGACCTGGATCTACATTCTGGATGCTAGGACTTAATGGATTAAGTCACAAGAGGGTTCTTGGGTTGGCTGGCCAGTACGCTGGGCGTACTCCCTGGTACGTTGCACGTACTGGGTCAACCACCCGAGTCAGGTCAATACCAACGTACGATGGGTGTACATGCAGAGTACGCCATGCGTATGCACACAGAATGCAAAAATGATTTGTTGGGCCCCAAGCCCATTTGTGAATGAAGACCTTTGGGCCTAGGGTTGATGGATGATATTTTGGCCTTATTGGGCCTTAGAATTTAATTGTTTGGGCTTGGACACTTTTGGGTTGTTTGAAATTGGGCCTTAGCAGGAAGAGGCCTAATAAGGCAAGAATTAGGGAATCTTTGCCTTAAGACATGAATTAGGGTTGGAGTCATAATTTGTTAGCTAATTAGAAATTTATGATGCGAGATACGGGGATGAGTTCACGAGTCATTCGTCGAGTACGTTATTACACCCACAATTTGTGGTGAGTCTCCTTTCGTAGAATTTATGGGTCGAAGGCACCAAGGGCAGCCCACTAGTTATGATATGGCATGATGATTGTCTTTGTGATAATTATCGGTTGTGCATGTAATGTTTGATGATTCTGTGAATTATGTGGGATATTATGTGGTAGTGGTAGGGTGAAGTAGACCCGACATCCGGTTGGAACAGACCGAAGGGGCGGGTCGAGCACCCAAATATGCTCGACATTATCCGGTTGAAATAGACCGAAGGGGCAGGTCGAACACCTAGATATGCTCGACAGTATCCGATTGAAATAGACCGAAGGGATAGGCCAGCACCCGGATATGCTTGACAATATGTTTATTGTGTATGTGGTATGGTGGGGGAACTCACTAAGCTTTGTGCTTACAGTTTCAGTTTGTGTTTCAGGTACTTCTAGCTCGAAGGGAAAAGGGTCGGTATGATCGCATCGCATCACACTATGATTTTCCGCATTAGAGATTAGGGGACTTAAGTTCTGATAATACTTTTCTATGTCTGGTTTTGTTTAAATACTATAATCATCGTATGTACACATTGCTTTTGAAACTGATGATGTTTTGGGTTATGGATTTAGTAACTTTAAAAATGAAAATTTTGGACTGTAATTTTTGGGATGTTACACATTATGAAGATGTTTATCGATAAAATAGGTTGTGGTAGTAGTCGAGTTGGACACATAAACGATCCAGTATTTTTTGGGATCGGTATCAGAAATGGTCGTTCTTTTTTGGACCAATGTCAACGACCTTTTTTTGTTTCGTTTTTTTAGACAAGTCTTTTTTAGACAGATTTTGCTTTAGACTGATTCAGTCTCGCTCAAAGGTCTTTTTTTGTTCCGTTTTTGTTCGAACCGGTCCTTTTTTAGATATATTATGTTTTAGACCGGTTCAACCTCACTTTTCTTTTGGAACTAATCCAAAACCGGTTTATTTGTTCACGCCTACTTTACCACTCTGTTACCACGTTCAACTTAATGAGGAAAAAATGGATGGAAGTGAAAAAAAAGTATAAAAAAATTGGTGATTTTGAATTTCATTACAGAAAATGAAATGATCATTTTCGCTCCTAACTTTCTTTTCAATTTAAAAGGATTTGAAGAGAAAAAACAAAATATTTAATTTTCCTTTCATTTATCTTTATTCGAGAACACACAATATTTTTTTTCCTTTCTTTTATTTTCTTACCTTTTTTTTATTTGCTAAAATTCTGGACCAGACATAAATGATTCGAAAGTGTTGAGGCCCAAATAATTTTGAAACTTTTTGAAGACTATGATTAACTTCATAAGCTGGGCGTTCGGCCCAATAATCTGATAACCCGGCTTCAAGTAATTTTATTCACATCGTCAAGAATGACAAGAACACATCTACTGATACAATTTCCTCTGTGCGAATTGAAATCTCTAACAAATTCCGATTTTAATTTCAATTCCAATTCCAATCTCCACAAATTTCTGATTTCTTCCACTCCTTCGGGTTTCCTAAGATCGTCAGTAACGTACTTTGTAAGCTACCCATCACTCCTTTAACCAAACTTCCGTTCTGATCCAAAATTTGCAGCTGATTAAGATGATGTTGATGAGGGCTTAGGGTTTTTTTTTTATCAAGACGATGAGACGATTTCATCAACTGAATAGATTAAGTGGACGATTGATAACTTTATATCAACAGGTTAAGTTAGGATTTCTTATACTTTGAGTTTTGGATCGAAGATTTGTTCTTTTTGAGGTGGAATGGATAAAAATGGATTGCTGATAGTATTATTGCTCTTATTTATGACCGTTTTGGGTCGGTCTAATGCCTTGAGTTCTAGGAAATTAGTTTCGACACCGGATCCAAATGGCAGCTCTAATGCAATTCAGGTTCGTGATCTGTTAATACTTGTTTTTGTTCTTGCACGTTATCTCGAATTACTTGCGGATTAATTTTTCTTGAAGAATTAATTGACAATCATGTGAGTTAAATACTTGCTAACCGTTTGATCGACGCTTGGATATCGTCGATCCTGATATCAAAAAGTTGTGCATCAATTGGGGTGGAAACAAGATAGCACTATCAAATTCACTTGATCTTCTTCTTTGTGCATGTAAATTGTTTTTGTTCTGTTATGCTATTGCTAAAATTGTTATTCGTCTTTAGGATGATCCATCTTCTACATCCATTAATGATAAGAAGTTAAATCCCTCTCCAACTGAGACAACAAAGCCAGTTGATAGTCCAAATACAAATCCCTCAAATGTGGATTCTAAAGGCTTGAATGATGATAATACCAAGATAAATTCTGAAAATCCTCCTGATAAGACAGCAGAAAAGGAGAAGGGTAAAGATGGGAAAGAGAAAGCAGAAACACAAACACAAACGCAAACACAAATGGAAACATTTGCTAGCAAAAGTTGCAATGGCAATCCAGTTTGTACAGACCAGGGAAAAACCATGATCGCATGTATTCAAGATTTTCAAAATGGTAAAAAGGAATCTCTTCTCTTTTGATCCATTTTAACTATTTATACTCTTAAACATTCATTTATTTCTATCCAATTAAAACATTGCAGTTTTGATTCTTTTTTCCATCTATCAATCTACATTTAACCACCTTCTTCTAGCAGGTTCCAACAATGTGACACTTATTGTGGAAAATGAAGGAATTCTAGACTTGAAAGTGAATATCACTTCTGACACATCTATAAACGATATTTTAGCACCTTTTGAAATACCTAGTCATGCTACTAAAAAGGTTCGATTTTTATTGATTTTTTTTTTAATTTTTAATTTTTTATTATAGCATCATAGTTTCATTTCTTACATTTAATTATTGTAGGTTAATTTTATATTATCTGGAGACAAGACAACAAAACTTATTCTAAATGGTGATTGTGAGCTTCAACTTAAGACCAAAACCATCAACACTCCTCCAAAACCTAAGGAACCCGAAACTCCTCCAAAGCCAAAAGACGAAAATAACCCTGCACACACTCCTTTAAACCCCAAAGAAGACAACAATCCTCCAAAACCTAAAGAATCCAACACCCCAACAAACCCTAAAGAAATCAAAGAACCTCCAATCCCCAATACCCCTGCCACATCACCAAAAGACATCAACACCACCCCTGCCACGTCATCCAAAGACATCGACATCCCCGCCACGTCACCAAAAGACATCCCCCCTCCCGAAAGTGTGGATGTTCCGATTTCTCAAAACAACCTTTTTGACCAGTTGAGTTTCTACTCGAAGCAAGTGACACCTATGCATGGTGCTTACGTGGCGTTTCTTTTGGCTTTAGTTGTCGGTGGGTCGTGGGCCCTGTGTAGCTTCCGGAAGCGGAGGAATGACGGCGGGATTCCGTATCAGGAACTTGAAATGGGGCTTCCGGAATCTTCTAATGCGGTGAATGTTGATACTGTGGAAGGATGGGATCAAGATTGGGATGATGATGATTGGGATGAAGATAAGGCGATTAGATCGCCAGGTGGGGGTGTGACACCGAAAACTATCTCCTCAAATGGGTTGACTTCTAGGAAGAAAGACGGATGGGATGCTGACTGGGATGACTAGGGTAATGAAGAATAAAGAGGGATAGATGGGTTTATACTCTGATGTATGATAGAAGTTTTGTTTTTCATTGATTAATTACTTGTTTTGTTTTTGTTTTTTGTTTTTTTTTTTGTTTTTTTTTTTTTTTTTGTTATGAGATTTTTTGTTGGTTGTAAGATGGTTGTTAATTTTCCATACGAATTCTTGATACAAGTTAAAAATTTATGTGCAGTTTCTGCTTGACTGCTTTGTTCTGTTAAAAAACTTTTGGATGCAGATATGATTCTTGATTCAAAGAGTTGGTGACTACGAAAGTAAAGGAAGGCAGTTTGAGGACACATCTAGTAAAACAAATTTAAGATGATACTAACATTAAATTCATTGATTAAATTTATACCTTGTTACTTGACATTCCAAACACTTGGCTTTTATTTTGGAAAATGTTATGTGTTGATTGTTTTGTACAAGGTTTAAAAAGGTTTAATGTAATGTTTAAGGGCACTGTAAAATAACTAGTATTTCTAGTTTGACATTCCCAAATTTAGATCCCATTTGAAATTTCTTTATATTTCACAACATTTTCAGCAACAGAAAATTTGAGATATTTCCAAACATTCAATAAATAAAAATGTTTCGATAATAGAAAATAATCACAAGGGATGTCTTAAGCAATCATCAACCATAAGCAAAGCATAAATACTAAGTCAACTTAACGAGGGCAAAAAGGAAAATGGACAGAAGTGAGAAGAAATAAAAGAAATTAAGTGAGAAGAAATAAAAGAAATTAATGTTTCTCAGTTTCATTAATGGAAAGAATTGGAAGGATCATTTTTCCTTCATAATATTCCTTCCAATTTGCAAGGATTTTGATAGAATATATTAAAATGTTTAATTTTTCTTTCACTTTTTTCCAACTCGGGAACACAAAATACAAATTTTCTTTCCTTTCCTTTCTCTTCTTTTCACTTCTTTTCAATCCCTTTCTTTACTTTTCTTTTCTAAAACTCCGGAACTAGGCTTACATGTTAGTGTATCTTCAGTTTCCCAAGTTCATTTGCGTCTCTAACCGCAAGTGGTTCTAACTTCGCTACCCAAGACACACATCAAAATACTACATTAGACTAAAAGGTTTGATGATAGACATGTTTTCAGATTCTATAAACATCATATGTATAAGCATCATATGAAAAAAAACATCAATATGGAATCACAAGATCTAACATCAAAGTTACATATAACATCACTAATACATCAAACATCAATGACACATAAACATTTATAATGCGTTTACATTGATGAAACATATCATTATCACAAACGCGTTGCAACATCAAAGAACATCATGTAAGTGTATGCCTATTCTTCCTACCCTAAGGCATCTCCCATCGCATTTATCATTTATCCCAAATTCATTGTTGATACGTCCTCATCTGGGAAGGGATATATCTTAATGAATTCACAAAGGAAACCATATATGGGAGGAGTACATCGAGAGGAATATGCACACTAAACCCCATGCATAGGAAACCACACGACACCTACATATAGCTAACTCTCTAGTATCCACTATGTCACACCCCCAACAAGCGAGATTGTTGAAGGGAAATTACATATAATACTTAACCTAGAGGTATTGAAATTTGAAAGTACATAACACTCCTCAACAGTAAGCACACTTATGAAAGTATTATACTATACTAAGTAGGCTGCCATTCCATGATTGTGACCTTCCAGCTCTTAATTCCCTGAGAATGCATGTGATTTGAAAGAGTGTCAATGTAACGTTAGTGAGTTCACAAGTTTGAAGTATTTAAAATCATACGTACTTTTAATCAAAAGTAGGTTTTCAATGTATATAAGTGGTTTCCTAAATTATATATAAATGAATTTAGTACACTCTCAATGTTACAATGAGTCCCTATAACTAAGCTCCTGACTAGATCGATATGCCCCTCCCGATGCTTCATTCGACGTCGTAAATGATAGACAATTATCACCCTGTGTGACTCGACTGCCAAGGTTGTAGCTAGCAACTACAAGTAGGGGTGTCAACCCGTATAGATCTATACATAATTCTCCCGCTCACAAAGATTAACGATTATAGGTCAGGGGTCTTCTAAGTATTGTACTTAGGTAATGAATGTGTCTCATGTAAACCATTGAGTGAAATGTTTTAAAAGTTTTGTAAACCCTAACTTATACGCAAAAGTTTCCAGGCAAAATTTTGTTAACATATATCTACTGTATAAGTTTTGTAAGCTTAAGTTCGACAATATTTTGAAATAAATAAAAGTTAATAGCAGTTTGACATGTATTCTCCCCCGAAAATTGTAAAACGTTTATAAACAAGGGTCGTGAAAACCCACTTTGGTGTTAGCGTGGCTTTAATAATGATTTAGGAGCGAAATTCAGAAATTATCGGAAAGATAGTTGAACAGCGCTTCGCCTGCTGGATGAATAGTGCTCGATGGAGATGAATAGTAAATCGTTGAAGTTTTGGGCGGAAAAAGTAATCGGCTTCGGATTTTGCTAGAAAAGGGGCGACGACGGTCGCCGGAGGTGGCTGTCGGAGCTGTGTTAGGATTCGGAAATTATATTGTGTCTAGTTGTATGCGTTGTTTGCAATTTGGTTGTAATGTTTAGTGTCTTTTCTTAATTCCAAAATGTGTTATGATTTCAGAATGTATTTAATCTTAGGTTTGCAGTTCTGAACCGTCGACTTAGGATTCCTTTCTAGTGCTCCTCTAAAGCCTATATGTAGGGGTATTAGTAAGTAGAATTGATAGTTTTTGCCAACATAATAGTTTTGCACAATCATATTGTAACGAATTATTCTTCCTATCCATTAATGCAAACAAATCTTATTTACCTCTTTGTGTTCTTACAAATCTATCAAATCTTCTTATGATGTTTTCATTTTAGAATCTATCGTTCCTATAGTTCTTCACAAGTGGTATCAGAGCAGGAGGTTTTGTAAGCTGTTTTCAGATCTAAAATCCTTCAAAGTGCTCCGTGTTCTTTATATTTTTTACTTTGCATTTTTTCATCGATTATGCATTTTTCAACTTTGATTGCAATTTGATCCAAAGTTCTTAGTTCAAATCATTATATTTTTGGTTTGGAAATCGTTTCTAGCTTATAGATCTGATTCTAATCTCTTTTTCTGTTGATTTTTTTGAAAATGTCTATAGAAGATTCTCACTATTGCCATTGGTTCTACAAATCAGATTCTAATTCTCTTTCCAGAAGATTATGAAGTCTGGGCACTACATTTTGAGGATTATGTTCATAGCATTGAAACTCATGGCTCATCTATATGGTTTGCGATTTATGAAGGACCGTACAAAGTAGCAAAGACTAATAACATCATATACACTCAAAAGGAACTGGATGATCTTGTTGCTGAAAATGCCATTAGATCTGATGAAAATGAATTGTTGATGAACACTTTAAAAGCATTCTGAATTGTGAAGTTTGCTCTTCCTCCAGATACTTTTCGTTTGGTAAGTTCTTGTCTTACAACTCATGAAATTTGGGTAAGATTTAAAGAATTATACTCTGGTGATGTTGATTTACTTCATTCACTTCAAACTACTCTTTTATCCGAATTTGGTTCATTCGAACAAAAATTAGATGAATCAGTTGATCAAACTGTCACTCGTTTTAACCATTTGCTAAGTAGAATGATTATGCATAAGTTTGGCAAAGAAGTGATTGAACAGAAGGTCACTTTTCTAAATGGCCTAAGATCTGAATGGAAGCTCATTGTTTCAACTGTTAAAGCTCATGAACAGTTTAAGGACTATTCTCTTGCCAAATTGGTTGGAATTCTCAAATCTCATGAGAAAGAAGTTCTTAAAGAAGCCAAAAGTGTCTCGAATGCAGGCCCATTAGCATTTATTGTGAAATCAGAAGGATCTAAAGGTAAATCATCCAACGTGATTCAAGATGATTCTGATTCAGATAGTCTGGATGATGAATTTACAAGTGAAATCGAGGCACTCATGGTCAGCAATCCCAATTTTTTTTCAAGAAAAACTAATCAAAATTAAAAGGAAACAAGTTTAACAAAGGAAAAAAATAGAGATGGAGAGTTCTAGAATCAGAACTCTGTGTTGGAGAAAGAAAAAGGCGAAGGTTATAGGAAGTTTCAGAAAGATAAAGAAAAAGGAGAGAAAAAGTTACTTGGTGATTCAGGTTATGATTGCAATTACTATCATGGAAAAAATTATTTTTCAAAGGAGTGTATATAAAGAAAAGTTCATGAGAAGAAAGAAAAGACAAAAGATGAATCTTACTACACTCAGAAGATAGAAGAGCTTTGGAAAGCTAAAAGCATTGGAAAAGATTTGATAGTTGAAGAAGATGATGAGGTTCGGAGGCCTACACATGGAAAAAGTTTTGTTGTGAGAGAAGAGGGGAGCAGGATTAAAGGAAAGTGTTTAATGGTGGGAAGCACAGATTCCGAAAGTCAAGGATATTTCACTAATGAAGGTGTGAAATCTGATGAGTGTGTCGCAACAAAAAGAATTAAAGAGTATGCTGGAGAAAGTGAGAAGGTAATGGACAAGGTACATTCTATTCTTAAATCTCTTAATATTCATGTTTCTCGTTATGATATCGAACTGACCGAATTGCGTGCCATTGTTTCTAATTTTAGTGAATGTATTAAGCGCTCTCGCACTAAAAATTCTGATCTTAGTGATAGTTGTAAAAGGGAATCTTTCAAACGCGAGGAAAGAAGAATGGAAATTGAAGCTCTTAAAATTGAAATAACTACACTTTAGGATGATGTAATAGTTTTGAAATAGGATAATAGGTTGATGACTAAAAAAAGAAATATTTTCTGTTTAATTGCCAAACGTCTGTATAAATAATATTACACAACTTTATCTTAATTGTGAGATTGGTGACAAATTGCATAAAATGATTCTTCATTTTCTTGAATTAATAGAAGATGAAATTGATGTTGATTGTTATAAATGTGAATCTGTGATATCATCTGATGAATCTTTGCATGATTCATACAAAATTGGACTTGAAAAGTTTGAAGAATTCATTAAATCCAAAGCAAAGAATTGACGATGAACAATATTCT